TAAATACGAGAGTCACCATGAAAACGGGGCTGCTGTTGCTGGTTTCGCGACGGTTGAAACGCGTATGCATCTTGTTACGTTTTTAATTACGGGGAGTTCAGTCCTATTTGTTTAATTGAATACGATCTTTGTAATTTTTTTAATAATGAATCTGCGCAGAAGGAAGTTCACTTAAGTGGTGTGAATACGCGTGTGTCTGATTACGCAAAAAGTTTTGTGAAGCTGTCACCGTTTTTTTTGTAAGTTTAGTGCGTTTTATATCGCAACTCTTGTACGACCAGATTAGTTGGATTATTGAGAAAAAATTAATAAATAAGAATTAATTGTAAGGTTTCTTATTTTAATAATTAACGACCGCATGTGTGCGGGGTAATATGTCCAAACAAGCTTTGTATGCATCTTTCTTTCAGGGATTTTATTTTAACTTTTTTCTTGTGTTTCAGAACTTTTATCATTGTCAGTCCATAAATTGTATTTATACGAATCCATGGCGCTAAAGATTTATTTCAGATCTTAATCAAAATTGGCTTTGGAATTTTCGGGGATTGATCGAGGCTACTGAGCCTCCCAAATAATTCATTTAAGTTAATATTGGAATTTTTCTTTTTAGCAAATGTTGGAACAAGTAACAAATTATAGTGACCACCCGGTAGAAGACCACCGGGTATTTGGAATCAATATAAATTTGGGCTTCGTTACAAAGAAGATTGTGGTCGCTGAACTTATTTGTTTTATGTAGGATTTAAAGTAATTGTTTCATATTTATAGAGTGGTGGTGTTTCATATTTATAGAGTGGTGGTGTTTCAGCCGTCGTTACCGTCAACAAGATATTAAAATTATTCTTGCACCCTCCGAAAGCTGTCATTAGTTGGAAGATGAAGGCGAATTAATGTTTTTTGAGAGTTTAGTGCATGTAATTAATTATTAACCCTTTTTGTTTCCAATAGTTCCAATAGTAAGTGAAAGTGCAAGTTGCGATATCTACTTAGGTATTTATTGGATTACCGCATAGTGAAATTTGAACGCACCTAATTGGGTAAGCATAATTAATGACTGACGATTTAATGAGTTATGAAGTTAATGAGTTAATGAGATATCTGAGGAAGGAGTTAATTAAAAACAGAATTAATTTGGATCACTTTCGTATTGAATTTCGCGTTTTTTTCCCGTTTTGCATTAATAAACACTGTATTACCTAGTTTTTGAATTTCTTTCTCCCCACCGTAGTATCCTTGTACCGATTAGTATAAGGATAGTAGTTTTTTCACCTGAAGATGACTGAAACGTCGAAACTAGTCGTGTTTTATAAGATTATATATAACTTTTATTAAATTTCATGGGGAAGGAAATTTCGAGCCAGGAGGGACTGCACAACTAAATTTCAAAGGATAGTATTGGGAGGTTACACAATTTTTTTTATAAAAAAGAGTAACGTCATAATTGTGTTATTTTGTACACGTGTGCAAAATGGTATAAACAATTATGAAGCCGCCCTTTTTTGTAAAAAAAAATTACCCCTCCCCCAAATACTACCGCTCTTACAGGTGATCGCAGGGGGTAAAATTTTACATGTGACATGTTTGGGGAGGGGGGGGGGGGGTAAAGTGGGAATATAAACTTTGGGACATATCTGATCATCCCTACCATCGTAGACTCAAGAGCCCTACTCGAACCTATTTTTACATTAATTATTAGATCAAAGCAATTGACAAATAAGAAATTGATAGTAATAAAATTCATTTCCGATGCTATGTAAACATACTTAGTGAAGATTTCATAATAGACCGATGACGTGCGCGCAAACTAAAGGAAAAGTTCTACCATACAATATGAGAACCGCACCTGAGTAAGCTTTTCTTGTTTCAAAAACTTATCGATAAATAGTACTGTAACTGCCACAAAGCGCTGCTTTTCGATGCGAATATAAATATCACGGTAAACATCTGAGATCATGCGTGAAAAATTACGTTTTGTGGAGGAATAAACAGGAAAATATGACCCACATAATACCGGTCTCGCATGACCGATTTGCTCGGGACGTTTTGCAAGAAATAAAGAGAAAACTCATTAAATTTTCAAAGATTTTTAAAATTTAAAATATATATAATCAAAATACAGATGAGTGAACACATCTTCATATAAAACGTTTCGTGATTGGATTCACATAAATGACGTCGTAAAATACCTTTTTCTCGTATATATATGAAAAGCCTTTGTACGGACTTCTTTCTTTTGCCTTATCGAAAAATTCTTTTATTACGAAAATTGTAATTGTGATTTGTACTTAAAGGCGGCTCTAAATTTTTACAAGGCCCGTACGTACTTGACCGTTTCGTATGGGATATTAAACCGTCATCCCATCGTATTTTACGATCGGCTTTTTCATTCATACGACTTTTATATTCCCTTCTATATCGTAAATATCTTTCTGTACGTATTACAAACAAAAGCACGTAACGAACTCAATTTATGATCTACATCTAAGCGCGATAAAATTGGAACGTACTCGATGATATTAATTTAGTTTTTTTTTTCCTTCGTGGGGGTATGCATTTTAAATAAGCAAAACACTTTTAATGCAGTTTCGGGACGAAGAGCGATAGGGAGATGCCTATAAGCCACATCGTTTTACCCGGAAAACAAGGTAGCTGTTTCTACGGTTTCCCCAAGGAATTCATTTGATATGGTACATCGCGCTCTATAACATTTATTATACCAGCAACGGTGACATTATATGTATTTCTACAGTTCCTCTGAAGAAAATATATGGCTGTCTCCTTGCTTTTATATAAAAAAAAACTTACCTTGTTTTGTCAGTTCAACTGGCGAGTTTTACTTTAGATCAGTAAAGAAGAAAACGCTCACCTGCAACAAGAAAGGAAAATTATTACAATGTCGAATAAATAACGCGTTCGCAGTGAAATATAGTTTGTTTAAAGAGGGTAGATAAAATGTTACCGCTACTTGGCGTTCTTGAGAAATATCATTATGACACAAACTGCCGGTAAAAATATGTTCCTTTCCATGTTACGTACGCGTATTAGGGCACATAAACAGCTTTTTATGCATTTAAACTTCAACCGATTGTGATAACATGACTTCCGTAACGGTTCAGGAAATTACTTTAACGGCTTATTTAAATCATCGATTAGTTCTGCTCCTTCATTCGCATTTATCTTGTAAATCTGAGTTTGGCTTTATGACTTTATAAGTGATTAAAGGTTGTGGAACCACACACATTTCATTATTCATTTAAGTGTTCCTACCATACGTGTAATAAATACCTAATTTAATAGCATTTTCATTCATCATTTAGTTATGTTTAGCTTAGGGGTGCTTATACCAGGTAAAATTGACTATTTGACATGATTGGAATCACTGGTGGATAATAGGGGCACTTTTATTTGACGGTAATGATTTCCTTTTTATTATTGTAAATTGTGAATTAGTATAAGTATAATGTTATCGAACAAATTAATTGGTCAGGTTTAATAAAAAGGCTCCTGCATTAATAAGCGCAACACAGATGTGCATTAATTTGGCGACGTAGTTGGTTGTTCATTCTTCGTTGAGTCAGAAAAAAAGAGTGGAGAGGAGATTGTTTAAATAAGTGGAGCAAATTAACGACGCTGCTGTTCGGTTGATTTATAAATACGTGCGTAATTCATTTCTATTCGGTTTATATCA